ATGGGGTGTTTCCCCGTTCCCAGACAGATATTTGCTACTGTTAATCCCATCTCCCTCCCAGGAAGTTGCTTTCTTAGGAGGACTTATCCTAATGATGCTGCCATTGTGCAGGACATCTTTCAATCACTTCTTTTGGAGTGCAATTATAGAGTCATAATTGATTGCTTTTCCATGTTGCTTATTATGTTGGCTCTGAATAAATCGCTACTACTAAAAAAAAATTTCTTTTTTAATCTGGACTTGGACTAACTTTTGTTCCAGACTATTCCCAACCACCCCTTTCCCACAGCTTGTGCTCTCCCGCTCTCCTCATGCTGAACAATGTGCAGCTCATAGATGCCTCTATGAAGGTGTGTATGCCACTCTCTCTGCAAGGAAAATCCTCCTCATGGTACTAAGCTCTAGATCACCTCCTTCAGAATGCCTTTGCTGTCTTCATCTGCCACCCCCTAATCTGAAGTTCCTTTCTACTTAGTTCCACCCCCTAATCTTTAGTTCCCTTCTACTTAGCTATAATTGTACCTTAAAAGGACCAAGGTGGCTTTAATTCACCAACTTGTTTAGTGTTCACTTGCCCCTCTCCCTGACTGTCAAGGAGGTCTTTGAAGGCAGACACTGTGTCTTCTTTCCTGTATCCTCTGGGCCCAACATCACTGATTTATAATACTGTCCAATAAAGCTTTATCAAACGAATGCATCCTTGAAAGAAGTGGGTAATCTAAGATGACAATTTTGAAAGTAAACATTCATTTAACTGAATCCTAGTTGAGTTCAAGAATTACTGGATTGTTCAATAAATGATGTGAGGGAAACTATTTAGTCAGTTCTGTAAAGTCAGATTCTCTATGCATATCATAAGCATATGTACAAAATTCCAACTGGATTTAATATTCATGTGTAAAAAAATGGAAAGTAGAAAACCACCAGAAGAAAACAAGAGCAACTATTTGTATAATTTTAGGACGAGGAATGGCTATTTAAACATAACACCAAAACTGGAAACCACACAGGAAAAGACTGATGTCTGGTCTGAGTTGACATATTGCTTTCCAAGTCATACTTTCTGCATAGGATCTAGAAGCCATATTTTTTTTCCTCAGAATTTTTTCCCTCTAGTTTTTAAGAATTTGAATATCTGCCTATTCAAGGAAGCACAGAAACAATAAGTAATTGTAAAAATACACTATTATCCAAAAAAGTCTGGAGACACAGGGATTATAGTGTATTTGAATACCTTTCTTTTTTTTTTTTGAGTTGGAGTCTCACTCTGTCCCCAGACTGGAGTGCAGTGGCCGCTCCCGGCCACCGCAGCCTCGACCTACTGGACTCCGGCGATCCTTCCACCTCAGCCTTCCAAGTAGCTGGAATTACAGGCGCGCGCTACCATGCCCAGCTAATTTTTTGATTTATT